CCCCCCTCCCCCCGGCCGCCCCGCACCGCTGCAGCAGGGCGCTGCTAGTGCCACAGCCGCCGCCCATAGTGGGCCCGTGCGCGCGCCTGAGTGACAACCCCTCGGCTCATTAAGGCACTTTTCTATTTTTCTAGTCTCGCGGGAGGAGCCACGTCGCGGCAACGAAACGACACGGGCCTATGGTAGTAGAAACTCGAGGCCAGAAGCAGCGATGCCTTATGCCTTCCCGCGTCTTCTCCGCCAAGAAAGTCGAACCGTGACAACCTTTTCTAAAATTAACTCCGCCATCATCTGGCCGTAACTACCGCCACCATCATCACTACCACGACGACGCAGACCTCTATGATGTGCTCAGGAACACTCCGACAACACACGAGCGCGTGTCATCACACACACACACACACACACACACACTCACGCGCGCATGCAAACGGGAAAATCACGACATGATGATGACGACGGCGATGATGAGGCGGGAGGAGTAGAGCCTCCGCCGTGGATATCAAAGGCTTTACAAAGTGGTGTAAATGAAAGCCGCTTTGAGTGGCCTGTAAAAAGCTTGGCCGCCGCCGCGCGAGGCATTAGCGGGAGTGACAGAGAAAGAGAGAGAAGAAACACTCGCGGGAGAGCCTTAAAGGCGCGCGGGGAGAGCGCTGCCGCTGCTGCTGCTCAGGGGCGGCCCGAAGCAAAGGCGCGCAACGTTGTTGCACAACTTATCGCCGCAATCATTTGCGTTCGCTCGTCGTAAGGGGGGCGGGAGGGGGAGAGGCGCTGCTACCGCCTTCCCGATGGGAACACACCCGGCGGAGCTCCTGCTGCTGCTGCTCGAGAGAAGGAGACCGGCGCGAGGCTAGGCGAGGTAGTAACCCACACCCGCCGCCTCACACACATATTGGATTTCCCTGCGGCCGCCGCCACCGCCGCCGCTCAAGAGGTGCGGCGGTGCCGGAGACGCAGCGGCACACAACAGCCAGCGCCAGCAGAGGCAAGGTGTTTACAGGGTGATGCAGGATTTGCAGAGGGAGATGAGGAGGAGGCCGTGTCAACGAGACCAAATTTCGGCACGCCGGGCCTGCGGGGG